TGTTTTTCGTATCTCAGTAAAAGAAAAAAGTTTCAGTATTTAAATTTTCGTATCTACGAGCCCCCCACTCCGCCCGTTTTTTCGGGTCACTGCTTACTATTATAAGCATTAGAAGAAAGACTTCTGAATGCAGTGTGTAAAATTTAAGTAGAAGCACAGTATTCCATATATCAAACTATCTTATTTTACTCAATTGCCTTTTCATAAAAGCTTACAAGTTTATTCGATCATATTTCATATTTTATATATACCTTTATCCTGATTTTTAAAGTATATATAATATGATTGTCGAATTCAACAAGCGGTTCAAACAGTCATGTCATAAAAATAATCACACACAATATTTTTAAAACTGTGCCACGGTGTCGAATGATCAATTTATAAAAAAGTTATTTTAAAAAATGATTAATTTAAGATAAAATAAGATTATTATCAATTTGATCGTAATTAGACTGTGACTAATCTAAAGTTCATCCAGAAGTTTATAAATACATTTTTTAGATAAAGAAATAGGTGATGATATTTAATATGTATTAACAGTTTGAATTACTAATTTTTTTTATTAACTTTAACGTTGAAGTACCTCCTTCAGGAACCTCCAAATATAATAAACAAACGACAAGAACTAATGACGATAACGTGAGAACGATCAATTAGATCATTAATCACTCATAGAACAATAAACTATTGACCTCGATCCTTACACTCAAAACCATTCTAATTTTATATATTACACATTTTTCTTTTTATGTTTACAATTGTAACATGTTCTAACCATCCTTTACCTCTGACCATTCAATATCTTTTGGTATTTCTTAGTTTATTAGTTTTATTTAAGACAGACCTAAAATTAATTTCGTAAGATAGTATTATATTCATAAGTTTTGAACAATCTGAAATCTTACTTACCACAACCTTAAGTAAAAATACTTTTTCAATGTATGTTAAAATGGTATTTATCACTATACAACTTTTTGATATTAAGTAATGAAACTTGTTTGAGTAGGATTGGAAATATACCTATGACTGGAACAATAATCTTTTGTATACCTGATATAATTTGTTTTTTATAATATTTTTTTATTTCAAAGGATAAAAATATTGTGTAAGTAAGAAAAAGAGTGAAAAAATATAACAGAAAATATAATGAAACACGAGGAGAAAAAAGAGTTAGTGTAATTTATTGTAAGTTGATGATAAATTTCATAGAAAGACGGTTAACGTTGTATATAACCTAATCCAATGAGAGGAAATTTAATATCCAAGTTGTAGAATTATGGAACAGACGATGTAGAGGCTTATAAAATGGTCAATGGAAAAGACCAAAGAGAGTATAATAATATTAGTCAACTAATGTCCATTTACATTAATTGATTAACGTATTAAGCATTACGTATTTAATGTGGATCGCGAATTTGTTTAATGACAAGTAGGTAATAATACAGTATGATTGTGCGTCAGCGCAGCCATAGAAAATGAGGGAGGCAAGTTAGGTTGCCATATGACACATATAAAATAGTGTTGAAGTTTCCTCGTAGTATATTTTCTTCATCTCTGTCAATAATTTAAGGTTGCATACTATCTATTTATCCACCTGTATGGTTCTATTTTATATTTGCTATTATACTTCGAAGTCTTATATAAATTAGATTAAAAATAAGACGATTTTATAATACATAAATTAATAAAAAATTTATTTTACACATTGATTTTTGTGAAATTATAAAATTAAGTTAGATATGATGTTTCACCTACTTTTAAATTAAATTAAGATTAACATTTACTTTTTAACACCAAGTATATATAATTTTAGTGGAAAATTTTTTTTAAAAAAATATTATTTGTTTAGAAGATGGAGGTGCATGAAGAAGCGGCCCTCTAATCTTTGCCTGTTCAGGTAAGTCCATGGGTATGTTTAGAAATTTTGTTCATTAACTCTTATGAATCAAATGAAAATATATTTTATTACATAAAACAAATTTAGTTTCAAATTTTATTATTTTATTATTTTGGATTATTTTAAAGTAAATTTAGTATATGAGTATCCACACTAATAAGTTATATACGAGTAAATATATTTTTCAACTTTTTGTAATTTATTATATAATTGTTGATAAATTAAATACCTTCAAAATATATAAAACTAGAAAAATATATATGTTTTTCTAAAAAAAAAACTTATGATATACAATTATCTACTAAATTCTCTTTAAAACCACACAAGGTCATCTAATGATAAACTTGAAATATAATAGTTTAGATGTTGGTAGCATTAGGTGAAAAGGGCTACGCATTTATATGATAGGTCTTTTTCCTCTTTTTCTTAATTTCTTCTCCTTGTATTTGATTTATTTTCCCATTTTTATTAAAAGTAGCATCAGTAACACAAAAATTGAAAACTGATTTAATATACAAAATGATTTTTTGAATTGGAAAATCAATTATATCTATGAAACAAATATTAAATATTTATGTGAAAAATGTTCAGTAAAGCATTTTTTTTTTCTGTCCCTTAACATGAATTAGTTGATAGTTAAGTTCAAGTCAATGGAATTTAAATTTAAGAGAAACTATATCTTATTTTTTTTTTATCAACGAAGCTTATAACAAATATTGAATAATATTTATTATGTTAAAAACCAGGTTTAATTTCTATATTTTTAGCAAGAAAATCAAGATAAATTTATAATTTTATTTTTTTTATGTAGGTTTATCTTACAATAATATTTCTATTTATGACTAAGTTTTATTAATATCTATACCTATAAAGAGATTTTCTTATATTTTTATTTTTTAATTTTTAAATAAAAGTTTTCTAAAATTAAAATAATTATTTTTATTTGACATTTTTTAATTTAATTATTTTTTAATTATAAAAAAACCTACAAATTAAATAAAAATTATTTATAATAAAATTATAAAAATTATTTATGTCTAATTTATAATTATAATAATAATAATCATCATAATAATTTTAATATTTTTTATTAATATAAGAAAAAAACGACCCATGTAACGCATGGATTTTCAGTAATGTATTTAATATCTTTTCGTAAAAATTAATAAAAGAAAGTTTGTAATGAATAAAATATTATTTTAATATGTGTCCTGTATTCATAGGTTTTTTTAATTTAAAAATAACTGTTAAACTTTAAAGAAATGACTTGTAAATTGAATACACACTTTATAAACAATTAATGCATACAAGACCACATTAAAATAATATTTCATTTATAAGTAACTTCTCTTATGGGTAAGTTTAAGAATGAAAGTTGATTATAAATAAATGTATTATTTTAACTTAGTTCCTATAAGGCTTGAATTTAAAAACAGAAGAAAATTGCTCAATTTTCATTTCATACACAACTCTCTTTAAATTTTAAATAAATCATATATATATATTATTTTAATTCTTAAAGCAATTTCTATTATAAATTATTTTCCTTTGGATAGGATTTACTATATCACGTCATTTTTAAAATATTTTTAAAACTTTCGCTTAACTATGATTTATAGAACTCACACAATTATAATTGTTTTATTTATATTTTTTACAATTTTAAAAATTAATTTAACTAGAGAAATTTAATTTTCTCATCAAATTGTCATTAATTTTAAACTATTATATTATAATAAATGAAATAGTATATATTTATGCAATAAAACATAAATATATAAAAATCATAAAAATAGTAATTCATATAATAAACATAAATAATAAATAAAAATATTATGAAAAAAAGTAATACACCAAATATAATCACACAAATAAAAACACGTATAGTAAGGGGTGTGATAATAGAAAAAATACATATTATTTTAGTAAAATGAATTATTTTAAATAAAATAAAATTAAAAATAAAATAGAATAAAAAATATAATTTTTTGTATTACTCAATAAATAAATAAAAGACTTTCGTTATTAAATACTTGAAATTAAAAATCAAATATTTGTATGTAAAAAAAATAAATAAAAATATTAAAAAAAATCTAATAATTAAATGTAAGACCTGAAATCTATTTTATTGACTAAAATTAATATGACATAATTTAAACATAACCAATAAAAAAGAAAACAAATGTAATCAATTATGTAATAAGAGAAAAAGCATTTTAGAAATATATTTGATTTTTTAAAATATAGAATAAACAATTTAAAAAGAGAATAAAAAATAATATATATATATATATATATATATATATATATATATATATATATATATATATGTGTGTGTGTGTGTGAAAACGAGACATGTGTGTATATTTATTTTTAAAAGGGTTAAATATGTTTTTAGTCCATAAACTATTGGCCGTTTCTGGTTTTCGTCCCTCTTCCAAAGTAAGGTACAATTTGGTCCTCATTCTTTAGAAAAAAGTTCGTTTTAGTCCTCAAAATTTTGTTTTTAGTCCTCGTTTTAGTCCTCAAAACGTTTGTTTTTTCGACTAAAACGAACGTTTTTTAAAGATTGAGGACTAAATTGTACCTTACTTTGGAAGAGGGACGAAAATCAGAAACGGTCAATAGTTTAGGGACTAAAAACATATTTAACCCTTTTTAAAATTTATCTATACCTTTATTTTTCGTCTAAACAAGAATAAATTCATTTGTTATTTCTAATAAACATATATAAAATAAAATTTTAAATATTTAAAAGAATATAATTATAAACAAAAATAAACATATAAATTGTTATAGATTAACACGTTTTTGTGATATTAAATCTTTCATAAGATATTGATTTGTGAGATGTTAGACTAGAATTATTTTTTCTGCTCTTCCGAGAAAAGAAAATTAGACTAAATAGAGATATTTATTGAAAGAAAACAGAAACCTAGAAAATATAAGTTATTTTAGGAAAAAGGAAATCGCGAGTCTTTCAAATCTGTTGCGGGACCGATGATATCTCCACGTGTACTCACCTGTACGTGTTCAACACGTGGGGTTTTCTTGCTACTTTTTTTTTCTGTATTCTTGCACGCATATATAGAAGATAGCCTCACACTAACGTTACAAACTATACTGAAAGCCAGTGAGTGTTGTAGGAAGATACTCAGCGATCAAAATGTTGAAGCTTTTGGTTAATAGAGCAGCTAGGGTTTCGACTTCACGCAACCACAACGGTTTTGCTGCATTCAGTTTCTCTAGGTATCTCCTTCTATTTCCCCTGGAATTGACTCGCCATAGATCCGAGTTTGTTCAATCGCGGATCCTCGTTTAGTTTCTGATATTTAACCACTTCAATCGTTAATTGATTCGATACTCAGCCTGTTCTGTGACTTGGATGAAATCATCGCTTGTTGTCTGTGAAACGGTTGAAATGTGCTCATTGGAAATTTCATTCTTTCGACGATACACTTGGTTTCTCTGGTTAAACGATGTTAGAAATTTTTATTCTCACATGCATTTAAGTTTCTCTCAACAGAAGAGAAAAAAAAAACCTTGTGCGTTTATGGTTAAGTCGTTTTCTACTTACAACGAGGATAAACCTTTTGTTACAGAACATTTTATAATGTTAGTTCTGCATATAAATATTGTCCGAGTAACTAAGGATTTAGGAAGAAGGCATTTAGTTTGTCATTTCCGAAGCTGAGCGCCGTCCAGAAATTAGCAAGGCTAAAATTAGAAAGTCGATTCATTGATTTATTTGTAACATAATCACTCCATCTTGATCTGCAATATCTATTCAAACTGACTGGGTTAGATAATTTTTTGGAATTTAGGTCAAGAGCATCTGGAACATTGTATTATTTTATATTGTTTAGTTAAATAACTTATAGAAATGCTGTCAAAGTCGTTCTGTAATTCCATCTAATTCACTTCTTAAAAATAAAAATCCAAAGATAGAGCGCTTTAATAGGAATTCCATTTTTTTCGTCATATTTTGTTTTACGCAATCTTACACTATCTGTTCATTACTTTATTTCATTAGATTTTAACACAAGTCTTTTGTGTTTTCTGTGCGCTGAATTCATTTTTTTTTTACATTATGTTGTAGATGTGTTCATTCATTGCAATTTGCAACTGTAGAAGCAGAAGAGGTGTCGGGTTCTAAGCCTGCTGAAGTTTTGAACCTGGGTATGGATCCTAACGTTTGATGTTTTTGTTCTTTGTAGATAGGCATTAGTACTCTTATGAATGTCATAGTACTTTGTGATAAATTAGGTGATCCATGATTGGAAAAGGATTACCATCATAATCTGTGGTTAAATCCTTTTCTATCTACATTTTTCATGATTCCGTCTGCAAGGTGTCAAACCTGCTTATCAAGTATCTTTCAAATTCAAAAGCAATCTGTTAAATATTATGTTCATCAAAGAATTTGATATGCTATGGAAACGAAAGGATTCCTGAATGTTTTTTCTCATAATTCTTCTATGTATCAAAATCTGAATGTTAGCGAGTGCTATCGTAAATTTCTGTTCCACATATTTACCATTACATTCATTTTTTTTATTATCAAACTCGTGCTTTGATTTGTTGGCTATCACTATGAGTGTATTATCTTATCTCCACTTTCAGTGCAAGGTAAATGGGTAGGATCTTCAAAGTGGAATACAATTGTAGATCCCCTAAATGGAGACGCATTTATTAATGTTGCTGAAGTTGACGAAACAGGCATTCAGGTGCATCCCTGTAATGTATTATTTTCCTTTTTAACCAATATTTATTTTGAAATATGTTCCATTTATTGCACTAAAAAGAGCTTCTACTTAATGAGAATTCTGCTTTATATGTTGGAGGCTGTGTTATTTTTATTACTTACTCATCCATCAAACTAAGAAATTACGGGGGTTTATTAGTCACCACACTCCACACCTATTTTTGAATAGGAGGAGCAAGTTCAAACCTTGAATCTCTGTTTGTGAGGCAGGGCTGTCACCTTGTGAAAACTGAAAAGAAATAGATTTCTATTCGAAGGCTATACTTGAGTTGGTACTTGATAGGAATTCAACAGTAGTTTGTGACTGAGATATTGACTAAATTTTTCCTTTTGTTGGACGTATCAGCCTTTTGTGGAAAGCTTGTCCAGCTGTCCCAAGCATGGTGTACACAATCCTTTTAAGGCACCCGAGCGGTAGGTGCAGAGATTCCTTTGTATCTCTTCTTCATTTTCTTTGTAGAAATATAAACATATAAATATATGCTTTATTTGTTAGATTTATGTTTGTCTTGGTCAAAAGTTAAAATAAATTGACGGGAAACTCATCCTAGACCTTTTTGTCCCAACTTTCATTTTCACTCCAAAAAAGCAACTAACTTGGGCATTTCAGTTACTAGTATTTTATGCATTAGTGCATGATATCAATTCTTATGTTCTTATTTTGACTATCTTTATGATATTTAATTTGGCTTTTGCTATAAACCTTTTGCAGATATCTCATGTATGGAGATATATCTACTAAGGCAGCTCACATGCTATCACTTCCTAAGGTTTCAAACTAAAGAAATATTTTTTTAACTTTATCATTATTCATTTAATGCTACTTTATTATGTATTGTTACCTGCAGTATTCAACGTCAACTTTTTCTTCTTTAGTTGAATGCTTTGAATAATTTTTACTACATGACCTTCAGGTTTCAGATTTTTTTACGAGGTTAATTCAAAGAGTTTCTCCTAAGAGCTACCAGCAGGCTTTTGGGGAAGTGTACGTGACACAAAAGTTTCTAGAGAACTTTTGCGGGGATCAGGTATATCAAAATAAGACATGCTAGTGCTAAATAAGTAAAATTATGCAATTTTTTGTTGGACGAATCTAAATTACCCATTGACTGATCGATATTGATCAATTTCCTATCTTTTGTTGATACCTAGATTCCTCATTCTTTAATGGTAAAATATAACACTGATGTATGCATATGTGGAGAGACACTGATACATAAGCTCACAATTCCTGTAATGATTTCTTCTTTGTTGTTTCATTTCAACAAAATCTTGACAGGTTCGTTTCCTAGCGAGGTCTTTTGCTGTACCTGGAAATCATCTTGGGCAGCAAAGTCATGGTTTTCGTTGGCCATATGGTCCTGTAAGGATTATGTTTTGTTTAGTTCTGTCATGATTATAGTTGATATGTGTGTTATGCTATCATACTACGAAAGGCAAAAAATGAGTCTATCATTTTATCATAAACAGTGTTTTTGTTTGGTGTATCAAAATTATCAGTTACCTTTTGTCACACTAGTCAGTTTATGAGTAATTGGTTAAGTGTGCTCTAAGAGATGGATTAAATGAAAAATAAAAGCAATTATTCCCATATAAAACCTAGCAAAATGTAATAATTCTGTGACTTCAAGTTATTATTTAAAAGGTCGATTATGGTGTAACTGTTAATATATCAATTCAGTTGCATAAGCCCATGTACATCGATGACCTTGGCAGGAGTGGTTGATTTCCCTTTGGTTCTTTAGGTATTTTATCCCAAAATGGAAAAAATTAATATTGCATGGAATTTCAATAAGTTACATATGATAATAAGGCAAAACCCAGAATTCAGGTATTTTTACCTACTAGAAAACTTCAAGTCTCTTATGCTCTTATTGCCATCTTTGATCAAAGGTCGTTTTTTGTTTTCTGCAAAAAAAGTTTATGTTTAATAGATGTGACTTGACTTCTACTCATGAAGAGACATTAAAAATAATAAGACGCTTTCTTATGTTGAATTGAATTTTGCTTAGATTAATGATGCAACGAGGAGAAGTTTGAGTTTTATCACGAGTGCCTGATTTAGATTTTTTTTTTCGCACACCATAAACATTTACCTTTTACTCTTGTTGTAATACTAAATCTGGAAGTGTGTTCTGTAGGTGGCAATTATTACTCCTTTTAATTTTCCCTTAGAGATTCCTGTTCTTCAATTGATGGGTGCACTTTATATGGGCAACAAACCAGTCCTTAAAGTTGATAGCAAGGTGAGTTCTTTTGGAAATGATTTTTGGATACTATGACATTTCATCTAATTCAAAATTCATACAGGGCTAGCTTTAAGGATGCAAAATATTAATTGCAATCAGTTATTATGAAAATAGTTGTGATGCGATGTTATTTAGATGTGTGCATTTATGTGTGTTGGGGAGGGGTTCATGCCTAAAGAAACCATTGGATTTATTGCTTTTTCACATTCTTGTTTTGGCTCTTTCAAACTGTTTGCTTTCTGAAATCTTAATTTTTATATGCTTTCAACGTTTAAATCTTTGTGCTTATAATACTGAGTATTATTGACACTATTGTTATAGGTGAGCATTGTCATGGAACAAATGTTGCGCCTGCTTCATTCCTGTGGCTTACCTGTGGAAGATGTTGACTTCATAAATTCAGATGGGAAGACAATGAACAAGCTGTTGCTGGAGGTTGTTTATTCATCGAATGCTTTTTATTTGTAGAGGATTATATTTATGATTCTATTTCATGGTGATCTCCATGTTAACTTATATTGATCTCTGTTTATAATTTTGTTGGATGATATTGGTACATGGTCAGATCTTCCTTTTGTAATATGGTATTGGATCATGAAGTAGTATTAAATTTACAGGGAAATCCACGAATGACCCTTTTTACTGGTAGTTCAAGAGTGGCTGAGAAGTTGGCAGTTGATTTGAAGGGCCGTGTTAAACTGGAAGATGCTGGATTTGACTGGAAAATACTGGGTCCTGATGTCCATCAGGTTTCTTGCGATTTTTTTTTTTTTTTGGATATCATAAAGGCACTAATTCAATTTTCAGTTCTATAATAGTTTCTCTTTGGTTTCTTGGTTTAGGAAGATTACATTGCGTGGGTATGTGATCAAGATGCATATGCATGCAGTGGTCAGAAATGCTCGGCTCAGTCATTATTATTTATGCATGAGGTTTGTCATATTGGCTATCTTGAGAGTTTTGTTCATTTTTAAATGTCCCTTAGAACTACCGTGAAATGTACATCGGCTTAGTATTTGTAAAATTCACTGATGTATTGTGTCTTTACTAACTTCACGGTCTCAATCTCTCTGGTTCAGAACTGGTCTAAAACTTCGTGGTGCTATCAAGTTGAAAGATCTTGCAAAGAAGAAAGCTGACAGACTTGACAATCGGCCCAGTCCTCACAGAAGTATTACATGTCTGTCATTTTTTCTTTTAGTAATTGAACCAGGATTTCACATTTAAGGTATTTTGTGATCTGCTCGAAGTTTGTGACAATCTATGATGCATAATATATGCAATGTTATCAAAACTGGACTTATCATCGGCTCAGTCAAGGTACCAAGTCAATACTTACTGTGAACCAGTAGGCCATTGCTTAAAATACATGAACCGATATTTATTAAAAATATAAATTTTGTGGAGAAAATTTAGTATATAAATTAATTTTCATATACTTTCCAATCAAATGTCTTTAGCTTGGTGGTTATAAATTCATTTCACGTTATGTAGAACTGTGCCTTGAATCCCACTTCATTCACTAAATTCTTTTACTTCAAATTTTAGAATTTAAAGTGATTCTCCCTGGAGCCGAGTAAAACAAGTTGAATGCAATTCCCGTTTGAAAGAAAGCTGAACCGGTTTTTATGGTTCAGTTACGTTCCAACATTTCATCCAAATTTAAAAAACACCTAAAAATATAGTAATGCCATCTTGGTAACACACATACATTATTCTAAAATTATATAGGATGATGATAAAAACGAGTAAGGAATAAAT